AAAAGTACCTGGTGGAAGTGGTAGCAAACCGTGTGGAGAGCGGGTTGATTCCGGTTCCCTGATATGTGAACACAAGCGCTGTAAGGCAGGAACAACCCGCAGTCATTAATAATAGGCGCTGGCTATTTCCGCGGCAGGCACCCATGCGCATAGGCAAATGTAGCGGAGTGCAGAAACAGCCGCTAACAGTTCGCCAGGGGCGGGCCAACAGTGCGAACACTCCCTTGCGCTTCCTCCACGGTATCCTCCTGCTTCATTTGCTGCAGTGTGAATGGGAATACCACGACCAAGCCGTTCCAGGTCTTCTTTGACGCGACTCCCTAGTTCCTTGACTTCCTACCTGAGGACAAGTGTCCTTTAGCCATGGCCTTGGTTACTGAGGGGAAGGCATTGGGTAAACAACAATTAAATGCTTCCCGCCATAATGCAGACTGTCATGGTAGAGCAATGGCATCTGCCCTTGTCCTGAGACGCCACTCTTGGCTCAGGGCTTCCACTTTACCCCCTGACATGAGGGCAAAATTGGAGGATCTCCCCTTTGAGGGCTATGAGTTATTTAGCAACCAGACCGATGATGTTCTGGAGAAATTGAGGAAGTACAAGTTACAGGCCAAGACATTGGGCATCTCTGCTTCTACTTCCCAACAACCATCTAAACAAAGGTATTGGCCCAAAACGGGTAATCGAATTGGTTTTTCCAGGTTCCCCCATTACCAGGGTTATAGGCCCGCTTACCAGCAGTATCCTCAAATGCCCACTGCGGTGCGGCAACCCTACCATCAGCAGCCACAGCCACACTGGCAGAATAGGGCTAGACAAAAGAACTTCGGTTCTTATCTTGGGGATCAACATTTTGCCCCCTGACTAGCAGGCAGACCACTATTTCGGGACAGGTTGTCCTATTTTTATGATGCCTGGTGTATGATTACACAGAGTTCATGGGTGTTATCATTAATAAAAAATTGTTATTGTTTAGAATTTTGTTCTTTACCGCCCTGTCACCTGCCTTACCCTATAGAGTCTGTTGGTTCCCAGTTTTTATCGAAGGAACTGTCTTCCCTAATCGAGAAGGGGCGGTTTCAGACATTACTGGAAGGAGTTCACCTTGGGGTTTCTACTCCAGGTATTTTGCCATTGATTAAAAAAGGGGGAGGTAAGAGACCAATATTGGATCTGCGGGACCTGAATGAATTTCTGATAGTCCCTAAGTTCCGCATGCTTTCCTTGCAGGAAATGTTACCCTTGTTGGATAGGGAAGACTGGTTTGATATAATAGACTTAAGGAATGCATATTTCCATATCGCGATCCATCCTAGTTCTAGGAAGTATCTGTGGTTCACTTACATGGGTAACCTATTGGAATACGTGGTCTTGCCTTTTGGTCTCGCCTCAGCCCCAAGGGTTTTCACAAAGATACTCTCGGTGGTGATCTCCCACCTTCTACTTAAGGGCTGTATTGTTTATCCATATCTGGATGATTGGCTCTTTGTGGCCAACTCTCCAGGACTGTTGTTGGAACAATTGCAGTATGCATGTAATCTGTTGGATTTGTTGGGTCTTTTGATCAATCTGGAGAAATCTATATTGACCCCTACAAAGACTTTAGTATTGGGGTGGTCTTAGACTCATCCCGAGGCTGGGCTTTCCTCCCTAGATACAGGGCGGTCCGCTTACAGAGTCTAGTAAACTGACTGTCCCACACGAGGTCTGTCTCTGTCAGGTACCTACAAACACTGCTGGGTCATATGGCATCCACTACCGCTGTCACCCCTCATGCTAGGCTGCATATGCGCCCTGCAAAATTGGTTTATTAGACTCTATTCTCCTGCACAACAGTCCCCCTGGTCCAAACTGAAAGTCCCATGGACAGTGGTCCATTCTCTTTCTTGGTGGTCCTCAACTACCCAACTGGTTAAGGAAATGTCACTTGGCACACAACCTCATTCCATTCAGGTATTTACAGATGCGTTCCTATTGGGGTGAGATGTCCATTGTGGGGCAACTACCGCGCAAGGATCTTGGACGCAGTGGGAAACCTCATCACATATCAACCCTTTAGAGCTCAGGGCCATAAAGCATGCTCTCCATTCTTTTGCAGACCTTCTTCACAGTCATTGAGTTTTATTGACTACGGACAACACCACAGCGATGCATTATATAAACAAACGGAGGCACTGGCTCCATGAGGCTCTGTACAGAGGCTACCTGCATTTGGGAGTTTGCCATAGCTCACAACATGTGAAGCCACGACAATGAACATTAGAAATTATTAATTTTAGATGGTTCATTTAGAATGTAGGAAAATTGATAAACTTTCTAGTATCTTATGCTCAAAATTTAATTTTTGTTTTAAATTGGGGGGAAAACACATAGCTTTATAAATGAATAGTACTGGTTTGAGTAATTCAGTATGCAAAAAGGATGGGGTGAACCTACTCAAAACAAATATTCTGCCTCATTTGAAAGTATTTTCAGACTCCATATCTTTGGGTACACAATAACCTCTGTCAATACAAACATTTGTTTTTATGAGAATTCCTATATTATTTGTCTTAGGATATGAATATACAAGAGGTGTATGTAAGTTGTTTCACAAATTCACTTGAAGATTTGCTACAGCAGCTTCACAAATACTATTCCAAATATTCTAGCTCCTTGGTGTTTCTCACTTACTTGCTCAGAATCCATATTCTAATCCACGTAGAAGACAAGCAGACTTTAGAAATCACCTTTTGGTTGGCATATGGAGTCCCCACTTTATTCCTGCCCATTCCTTACACTTGCCCATCTGGCTCACTTCCTACTCCTGAAGAAATAAGATTCTGACCATTTTTGCTACCTTCTTCCCACCTCTTTATGTTGAGTGGAAGTCCTTTATTTATTCCCACAGTGTAGACTCCCTCATGCTACTTTGCCAGTGCATATCAACTGCGACCTTGAGACACCATCCCCTCCTGGGATGAGGATGTTATTCAGCCCCAGGCATCTTCAGAGAGAAGAATGACAGTTCTTTGAAAAGGGAAAAAAACAAACCAACCCACAACACATGGAAAAGCTGACATACTGAAGAGCACTTTGCTTTGAAGAGATAAAGCAGACAGTAGCAACTTGTGCTGGCCTAAAATATACCTGAAGAGTATTTACTGTGACTTTTTCATTGAGCAGAACTGCAGGAAATCAATTTTTGTGCATGGGTCTCATCAGTCAGTTTTAACGCTGTTTGCATACTGCAATGTTGACTGCATGACTGCTTAGATTATTGCAATGCTTTACTAGATGATCATCCACCTTTTCCATCTGGATTCTGGTCTGAATGTAATTCTTGCCTGCAGCTATGGTATCTCTGCTATTCATCTCTTTTGATTAGCTCCCAGTGTTAGTAAAACTCTATTGTAAAGCTGTCATTAAAAAGTTCTAAATCTTGCACCCCTTTAGAGGAGAGGGGTCATTTCATGTTATGTTCCTGTTCAGTCTCCTCACTTCTCTTAATTGCTGCCATAGTGTATTCTACAATCATAGTTATAAATGGGGTTATGACTCTGTGACAGAAAGCCCCAAGTTCAGTTCAGGGCATCTCCAGTAAGAAGGATCTCAGGCCTGGTTCACACATGCAGAAGAACGAGGTGGCGATGAAGTGGTATGAGTGCTGAGGTTCTAGAATGGATTGTATCCACTTCAGACTACAAGCAGGGGGTTCCAGCTTGGAATGTTTCTTCACATAAAAACACTATGTAAACAAAAAACCAGATACAGGTTCCACCCCCTATTTTTGCTTGTTGTGGTATAGCTAGTTTGGTGTAGTGGTTAAGACCTGTGGACTCGAATCTGGAGAACTGGTGTTGATTCCCCACTCCTCCACATGAAACCAACTGGGTGACCTTGGGTCAGTCAGTTCTCTCAGAGTGCTCTCAGCCCCACCAACCTCACAGGGTGTATGTTGTGGAGAAAGGGAAGGAGATTGTAAGCTGCTCTGAGACTCCAAGTGAAGGGGTATAAATCCAACTCTGCTTCTTTTTCCATTTGCAGGGAGTTTTACTACAGGATCAGGTTGTCCACTGATATTGAGCATGTGGGCATTTTTGGCTTCTGAGAACAGATAGCAAGCACCACCAACTTGACAAGATAAGGAGGCAGCCAGTCACAAAATGGCTGCCTTGGAGGCTGGAGTCAGTCACAAAACATTGGGAAATTCCAAGCCAAGAAGTCTCCTATAGAAACAAGAATTTCCAAAGTGGTGCTCTTTGCAGACACAACGTTGGTGCCTCCTGAGCTCTTCAGAAACAACTGCTGCTCCAACACTGTGGAGGGAAGCTAAGACTGGCTCTTTGCTTTGGAGAAGAAAGAAGTGGGTGCCAGGAAACACAACACTGGGCACCATGGTGCCCATGGGTGCTACATTGGGGAATAATGCCATTGGGAAACATCCCAAATGTGATTATTCACCTGCAGTGGTGCAGTCCACTCTACCGCTTCAGGTCTTTGTGAACTAAGGCTGAGGTGGAAGGAATTGGGGAAAGATGTCTCTCTGCTTAGGACCTAAGGAGAGTTGCTTCTAGTCAGACAGGAAAATGGCAAACTAGACAGACCAATGATCTGACTCAGCAAGATTATCCTGATGTGCTTAACTTTAAGAAGCACTGAAGGACAGATCCCATTTTTATGATCGTAGAAAAGAGGTTTATCCATGACAACAGGATTTTAGTAGTGACCTGCAGTTGCCCAGGACAGCTTCACAATACTTTTTTATAACATGGAGATTAATGTCCATCAGAAAAGATAATCTGTAAAAACAGCCCAGTGGGCTACAGCTAACCAACAAGAAAGCCATTAAATGTTACTTTGCGCCGTCAATATTGCATTTATTCCTGCAAACAAAATTAACTACTTCAAATGGACAGAAATGCAGTTTTAAAGAAACAGAATTATAAAACAATTTATTTCCGAGAACAGATGAGTTTTTGCATGATTACATTCTTTAAAAACTTGACATCTACTTGTACAGAGATTTAACTGAATATTTATATCCACAGTTAAATTTTTAATAACTTAATTGCCATGCTAGTTGGCTAGTTAAGTAAGCTGGGAGACAAAATTCTGAAAACCACCTACTTGAAAGTCCCATTAAATCAATGGGGGAGGTTTCAGGATTGTAGTCTTTCTTCTAAAAAAAAAGAAAGAAAGAAATAGGGGGGGAAACCTGCTTTCCCACCAGGCATGCTACTAAAACTTGTGGAGAAGTGACTATGACATACTGAAGACACTGAAACCTATTCTAAGACAGAAGGATGCCATCAACATGAGACAGGAACATCATGACAGACCCTGGCAGGAAAAGAAATCAGGATGAAAAGGAGAACCTTCTTGCATTGTCCCCCCCCTTAAAAAAAGTCTGTTTCATACATTCCATGAGGGATTAGGCAGAGATGTCAAGAGAGCTACAGGGGATCTCCTGAGGGCTTCTAAAAGTAGTCAGAGGGGGTAACTTGGACAGGGGGTCACAGTGCCACAAGTAGCTATTTCCACTGAACCTTTATTGTAAACACTGTTTACCCTGGCAGAGGAACTGGGAGTTTGGAGAGAGAGAGATGCAACAAGAAAAATGGTCGGGGGGGGGGAGTTAAACTCCCCCTTTCTCCAGCTCTGTAGCCTCAATCTGACCCCCCACCCCAATTCTTTTAAGAAACCATGAGAGATCATGGATTTCCAGGCATTTCATAAAATTTAGCTTTTAAACAGTGAAAGAAGAATGAAGTCACTCCCAATGCTTTGTTTGTAAAAAGGCTATATGAAACAGAAGAGACCTGATTTCTCCTTTTGCTTTCAACTTTGCCACCCATACCCCCCTTCCCAACCCCCAATTCCCTTTAATCCAAATACCAGCATTGCATAAAACACATCAGTACTGATTTACACATTAGTCACTATCACAGACCAAGATGCCCTCTGAGGATTGGCACAGGCGAGCTTCTCTGCTTTTTCGTATCCCAGCCTCTACTTAGATGGTCTGATGTTGTCTGATGCTCCACATTGTAACAGGGAGAGGGTGGGAGGGCTAAAGCCTTACCTGAAGCTACACCCTACCAATTCTCTGAGTTACCCTTCCTGCAATCAGATCAGTAACCAGGTTTCTGCTTTGATTTCTTTTTTCTCTGTTTTATAAGAAATAAACTTTCATCCCTGGTGGGAGTACTGACTGTGTAGTTCTGTTTTTTCTTTTTTTTCCGTTTTTTTGCTGCCTCCAAGGAAGCTTTGGTGATTTCTGGTTTGTCCCCATTTGCAGAAAGGTCACAATGTGCACTGTTTTTTTTGTGCCACTTCAGAGCTTTCATGTGACCTCCTCTAGGAAAGTTCTCCTCTGTGTTGTAGTTGCTTTGGACATCTTTCTTGTGCTTCCTTCCTTTGACTTTGTCTGCCTGGTACTTCTTCTTGAGCTTTCTGTGATGCTTGTTGTGTTCCTTTAACAGTTTCACCTTTTTCCTATGGGTATACACTTTCTGGTCATCATCTATGTGTGGTCTCTTCAATGCCAAGGGAAGAAGGCCAGCTTCCTGAAGTTCTGTAAAATCAAACGTTGGGTGATACTCAGAAGATCATAGTTAGAGCATAACAATCTGGCAGCATATACAAGTCGGAATTTTGTTAAACAAAGCTGCACTCAGTGAGCTTGCTAATCTCCCATTGTGGGACTGCACAGAAGCAACAATGATGAAATCAGGGTTGTACTTGCCTGTAACTGTTGTTCATCGAGTGGTATTCTGTGCAGGCACACATTGGGACTGTGAGTGCGCAGGCCAGCTGTGGAAAAAAATTCCAAAGCTTTCTAGTAGGGTAGGAGCTCCCTCCTCCTTCTGGAGCTTTCCTGCCAAAATGATCACATCACTAGGAGGAGTGGAGTGGCATTACTCCCTCAGTTCTCTCCATGCTATTGCCATAGACTAAGACACTAAGTTTCCAGAGAGTTCACAGCGGGGCAGGAGGGAAGGATGAGTGCCTTCACAGAATACCACTTGATGAACAACAGTTACAGGTAAGTGCAACCCTGTTTTCATCACTATGGCTTCTGTGCAGCCCCACATTGGGAGATTAGCAAGCTCACTGAGTGAAGAAGGTGGGTGTGAAGCTCTCAAAGGAAGAGATGATGGAGGACCGCTTTCCCACCAGATGTTTAGCTCCCAGGCCTATCTTATAAAAGAATCTGGACACGCACGACCCAATCAGTTAAACAAGTATAAAGCCAACAGGCGTGATCGTCTGACCCACAATCAAACAGTCATAAGACTTATAAAGAATGCTGTTTATGTATTGCAATCTAAAGCACTACAACATGATACACAACTCAATAGAAAATCCTTGAACCAACGTACATAATCACATAATCAACGTCGTCTCCGGATTACATAACTTTTCAAAAAATGGATCTTCTTCAGGAGATATTATAGTGGTGCCAAAGCTCTCAGTTTCATAAATATTAGACAACAAGTCTTAAGAATATTAAATTCAGATCGGACGCTGATCTCAATTAGCATTCAAGCTCAAAATATTGTTTCTACTGGATCTTGTTGTCTAACATTTATGACATTATTACGTTATGTAATCCGGAGACGACGTTGATTATGTGATTATGAAAGAGCAGGCAGCACTGTTGTGTGAACCCCTAAGCAGTTAAGGCACAGAGAATGGCCATTTAACAGAACCATTTTAAAGCAACAGTTGGCCCAATCCTGAGTAGGCCCCTTTTGAGCCATAATGACACAATCAGAAATTGAGAAACATTTCTTCTTTAAATGTAGTTTATTCTTCACTAGAATGAGTACTGATGACTTTTGACAGAAATAGGTCTCCTCAGTCTCAAAGAATGAGGTGAGGAAAAAACAGAGACAAGGAGTGGAAATCCTCTCTTTGCGGCAGCAAAAAGAGAACTTGGGGAATAGCGCCCTTCCTCCTGGTCATGTGATAGTTTTGGCAGCAAAGCGCCAGAGGGAGGAGGGCCGCTTCGAGGGTACTAGAAAGCTTTGGAAATCTATGGCTGGCCTGCGCACTAGAACTGCATCGAAGCCATGACGATGAAATGTGTTTACTGCTTCTGTTAACATGCAACCTGGTTAAGCAACAATAAAAGCATGAAATGTATATCATACCTTGCACTTTTTTCTTCGCTTTTTGAAGGCTCCTCTTGATATCATATTCATTATCATAGTAATAGATGAAGGGGAAAGTAGGGAACGTCCCTCCAAACATCCGCCTCTCTGAGCATTCCTGTAGATTGTATTTTTAGTGTTAGTTCTTTGACAGCTCCTACTTTGGATTCAATAACTCAAAATCTAACGACATCAAAGGAAGCAAACAAAGTAATTTGGTAAAGCAACCAGTTTTGCCAGCCTGTAGTAACAAGATGGTTTGTTAACCAATACTAACAAGATATCTGTGTGGCAAATGAAGATCCCTGGTCTGCAAGAGGAATGTATTTCTGTGCTTCATTTTTAATATCCTCAAAAGTAATCTAGCTGCATGCACAGGAAGATATAAGGGATTAGTGAAGTTCATTCTTAGTTATGCATTTATTCACAATCTTACGAAGATTATTTTCTCAGTGCCACATATGCTAAAGTCCAATCCATCTCCCTTCTATGATCTTAAATGAAGTGCTTATGGACACCAAGAGACCTTTTATTGCTTGATAATGTGATTTTTCTATCCATAGGCTATTGTCCAGTAACATAAGAGAAGCCATGCTGGATTAGGCCAGTGGCTCATCCAGTCCAACACTCTGCATCACACAGTGGCCAAAATCCAAGTGCCATCAGGAGGTACACCCGCAGGGCCAGAGGAAGGGAGACGTGGCCAGAGGGCTGGGGTGTGTGTGTAAATGTGGAAGCGGCCCTGTCCACGGGTAGACTTGTGAGGTAAGTGGGCAGGATGCCACGACCAGTGTAATCCACAAAGAAAGTATACTGAATTAGACCCTTGGTCTATCAAGGTCAGCACTGTTGATTCAGACTGGCAGCAGCTCTCCAACTCTCCTATATATTGGTACAGGAGGAAGGCAGATCATTTGGTGGTTACACTACATGCAGAATGTCCCCATTTCAACCTTTGGCATATTGAGCTACAAAACAATCTTAGGTAGTAGATCTGGGAAATACTAGCAAACTGCAGACAGTAAGAATACTGGGGTAGGTGGACCAAAAGTCTGATTTGATTCAAAGTTGCACTGGATGTTGAAAGAGTCTTTACACAGAGTTGCCTTTGGTACTATGCAGTAGCATCCATACTCAAATACAAACTTTGGTAAGGAAGGGGTTATCACTTTAACCCTATTGCTTTTGGGGGGGAAATTGGCAAGTCATAAAGTCTCCCTCCTTCTTGAGTGGTTTTGTCAAGATACTTTTCCGTTGTTGAAATTTGCTGGAAGAAAGGAAATCTCCATTTCCCTCTAACCCTTCTCCTCCAGAGAGGCACACCATAAGCTTGTTGACTTGTCCCACTTCTAGACAGGATAAAAGAGGGCAATTTTATATGAGTAACATGAGTAAGCATATTTATTTATTTACTGACATAACTTATACCCTGCCTTTCTCCCAAAGGGGACCTAAATCAGCTTATATCTTTATCCATCCCTCCATTTTGTCCTCACAAGAACTCTGTGAGGTAGGTTAGGCTGAGAGGATGTGACTGAACCAAGGTCACTCAGCAAGCTTTTATGGCAAAGTAAGGATTCAAACCTACGTCCCCCCGATCCTAGTCAGACACTTTTTCCTTTTCACTACACCACACGAGCAGTAATAATCCAGAATGCTCTGTGGTTTCTGACCCAGCATTATTTCCATATGCATACATAGAAAGAGTGTAAGATTAAGTGATCTCAATCAAGTCAATTTGACAAAATGATTTAAAGTGGGCTTGTTCTCATGTCGCTTTTCAATCTGGGGAAATCTTGTGCCTCGGTCAATCTTTTTCCTGTGTTTTCCTCCCTATAGTAATGGGGGAGGGGAATCTTACTCCCTGAGCTCATCCTCCAGGGTACACCAAAGAAGGGAACAGGAAATAAGACACTGGGTGCAATTCACAAAGCGTGGCTGCTCAGTGATTTCCTATACAAGCCCCCCTGAAAAGAAACAGAAGTTGCATATTTCTAGGTCGTCTGAAGTACAATGACAAATCTTTTCCTCTTACCCTGAACCAGAATTAAAGCTCAGAATTCCACTACTGCCTGATGACTCAGCTGTACAGGGAGAGCACATGCAGAATGCAAGATACACCTTTTACTAGAAACAATAATTTTAGAACATTTTGAAATTCCTGTCAGAGGAAGAGAATTATTTTGAAACAGTTGTTTCTAACAGGCAAAATTGTGAATGGATTTTTTTCTACCAGTTTCAACCAAGTGGTTTCAAGAGCCCACCAGAATATTTTCAGACAAGACTATGTGAAGAAGCACAGTTAATCTTTGATGGCTGTGGAACACACTCCCCCAAGGTCTTCTCAGAGATGCTGCATAAAGTCTAGAGTGTATGCTGCAGACAGATGGCCTTTTTTTTTGTTAATATGTTGACAGTAAAGCCCTAGTGGGTGAAAAACACACAAGCCTCTAAAAACAGGTGCTTCTGCTTCCTCTTTTGAACATCACTGCATTGAATCATCATCTCAATAGTGTATGACATGCACTTTCCCAGACCTCTCTCTTTCAAGTAAGCTGCCACTACTGCCACACACTTTGTACTGTTAAATACTCCAGGGATGGTTCTTAGCACCACAGGTAATTCACCCAGGACTGAAAGCTCAGCCTGCTACTAACCCACCTGAGAAACATTTGGACTGATTGACAGCTTGGAATACAAATGCAAAGCACATCTACCGATCCTCTCTTTTTTGTCTTACAACTTGCAGCAGTGAGCGTGAAGTCTAAATACTGAAATGAGCTCTTCAGAATTTGGGTAACAGAATGGCTCCTGCAATTTAGGTTCTTGGCATTTTCAAGGGTATCTTTGGAACCTGACCCCCCCCCCCCCGAACCTTTCAACATCTGGGTCTTTGCCTTACTCCTTTTAATCTTCAAGCTGCTTTCTGCTTCTCTTTATCCCACAGACCACAATTTTTGAAAAGGGTCCTTCTTCAGCCCAAAAGACACATTATATGTAACATGTGATCACCACAGGGACTTCCAGCCATATGGCAGTTGTAAGTTCCCCACAGGAACCCAATTCTGAAGTGCCCCACAGGCCTGATTTGGATTGGAGGGAGGTGCACATGTACTGGATACTTGCCTATAAGGCTGGGGTAAATAATGCCTCAGGACCTTCTGGGGTGGGAAAATGGCATGAGGGAGTAGGCTAAAGCCCCTCCTTCCCCTTCAGCACAGTCCTGATCCAAATGAAGCCCTGTGATGCTTCAGAATTGAGCTCCCATGGAAACTTCGCAGCTGGCCTTTTGCTGAAAGCCTCCATGGCGATCATGTGTTACACATGATGCATACTTTGGGCCTTGGGCTTCTTGCTGCAAATGCTTTCTGTGTTCTACTCCAGCTGAAGAACTGTAACTCCAATATAGCATTTCCAGATCTCCCTGTCTCCCTTCACATCAAGTACAGTTCTTGAGAGTTTTGTCAATGACCAGATCACAAACTTCAGCCTTCTGAGTTGTTCAGGAATCAGCTGTGAAGGCTGTTTCTCAGTGCAGTGACTACCACATCAGCCATCTTCCTTCTTGATGGCCAGGGAAGAATTTGGATCCAATGCAGCTCTTGTTTTGTTCCGATTGCAGTTGTTCCGATTGCTGAGCGACTGAAAACAATTGCACCAACTGCCAAGTAATGCTTCTCCTAAAATGCACTGTACCACCACAGGTGACAGAATCCCACCATCTGTTGGTTCCATGTGATGGTCTTGTACAGCTTCCATTGATTTCAGTGAGGAATGTACAACACAAGGTTCCCACTGAATTGCATGTTCCTGAATTTTAAGTCTCTTAAAAGCCTCTGTGTACAATAGCTTGCCAGGAATGCTGAATGTTTCTTACTCAAATTCCCTCCTCAATTTATTGAGGTGTACATTTAATGATTAGCACACATATTATGTGCCTACAAACACTGATCTATATTTGTTACTAGGAATTAGGCCCATTGTAGCAATGAAGTCAACGGGTGCTAGCCTGACCACCCAGCCGCAAACCCCCATCTCCCCCCCCCGGCCGCTCGAGTCCTTGGCGGGCCAAGCCGGCCAGCCACCCCCCCCTGGCTGATCATGGGCCCGGTGAGCCAAGGCGTGTGGCCCCGTCTCTCTCCGCACTGCACACTGGAGGCCCGGGTGGGCCGAGGTGGCTGGGCTCACCCTCTCCCCACCCGTTCAAGGTGCCGGCGGGCCAAGGTGGGTGACCTCATACCTCCCCCCACCGCCTGTGTGAGGGGGTGGCGGGGCAAGTCAGCCAGCCTTGTCCCTCCCCCCTGCCCATTTGAGGCACTGGCGGGGCAAGCCGGCCAGGCTCGCCCCCCCTGCCCATTTAAGGCCGGCCGGCCACTAGGTCCTGGTCCTCTGCACTGGTCATCGATGGGGGGGGGGGAGCAGATGCAGAAGCACTGCAGAGACAGGTGAGGCGCTGGGGAAGTGTGGCGCTGCTTCGGGCCGGAGGGAGACAGAAGGTGTGTTCAGCAGAGCTGGGGCGGGCAGGCAGAAAGCACTGCAGGGGAGGGGGTGGCCTTGGTCACTGGCAGGCGGGTGTCATGCTGGCGGTCTCAGCCACATTGGGGACAGCAGAGAGAGGAAGCGGGATCTTAAGGGCGGTCAGCAGTTTCGGGGGAGGGCAGGCAGCTTTCTCAAGGGTCCTCGGAGGCACAGCTGGCTCGCCTAGTAGCTGTGAAACTGAGCCAGGAGCACGAGCAGGAGGACTGAACACTTTCTCCGCCCCGTGTGGGGCTGAGCCAGAGGCTGTCAGCCGGCCTGTCATAGCGTGGTTGGAGTTGCGGAGCTGTGGGAAAGTAAAGGGCTGGACGGGGTGTGAGCTTCTCACGTGGTGGCTTTCCAAGAGGCGCCTTTTGAGGCTGTTGGCAAGCGGAGTGAGGGGGAGAGAAGGTCAGTCCAGCCAGCCCCGTGGAGAGTCCCATCTGCCCCCTCCATTGGCTCTGAGCACACTGAGGCAAGACGGCGCCAGCTGCCTCTGTGGGCAAGTGGGCGGGACTGCAGCCACTGGTACAGTGTCTGAGTGACAGGCCAGAGAGCGAAAGGCTGTGGTGGTGTGTGACATGTTGAGGCAAACTCAAATATAATGAGAGATTGTAGGAAAGAGACTGCTGAAATTATAGTTTGATGTAAGGAGCTCTTGCCAGATCTCAAAGAAGTCAGTGAAATTTTAATGTGCTTTATCACTTTACTAGATTCTTTTCATAACTTACAACCTGTGGCATAGTTGAAAGAAGTGCAAACCCAAAAAGCAAGAGAATACATGTGGCATAGGTATTCTAAGAAAGCCAAATTGTGTAATTGCTGAAGTTGGGACATAATTGATTTTGTAGTGTTTCTAAATATGATTCCATGCTTACACGTGGTCAGCATGAACCAAATCTACGTATTTAAAATAGGCTGGCTGATTACACTGCAGAAAAATTAGATAATTCACTTAGAATGCAACAAGCAATGGGCTGGAAAAGAAACTTTTACCCTGTGTTGTAATAAATGTTCTCTTGTTTCAAAATGTGCACAGTTGCACAATGCACCTTTTTATCTAAAGCCATGTTATTTGCTGAACACTTGCTACCTCCCTCAGTTGCTTGGTTTTGTTTTTGCTTTACTGGTGAGGGCTGGCTGGTGCTCTCTACAGTGATAGTGATCAAAGTTTCACACCAACTCTGTCTGATCCATCCAAGACTCCTAGGTCAAGCCCTTCCCCACCTGTCTCTTTCCTCCCTTCAAAGTAAATAATCATTTCTCTCACTGTACTCTCCTATATAAATCATTCAAACAGCACATCTAACTGAGCCTGAATGAATCCATACTGAGAAGTAACTTTGTCTCCAGTCTTGTTTGCAACTTTTAACCTCAGAAACTGGCTGTAATACAGATCAAGGAAATCAGACACCCAAAATGTCTCAGGAGAGGGCCAGAAGAACCCTGCCAAAGGCGGCCATGTACATTCAGCCTCTCTTGAATCACATAGTAGTGTGCCAGGCCTTTAGCCAGATTTTTTTGTTAATATTGAATAATGAAGCGGTTTTACAGTTTTATCTTTAAAAAACACTTTGTAAGCTGACTTGAAGAGGTTCTCTGGAGAAGTGGCACAGACTTTTTCTAAACAAACAAAAACTAGCAAACAACCATTTTCAGAACCTACTTACATAGCCATAATGGCCTTGCTGTGAACAGTTGTAACAGTACACTGGAGCAGAGTGTTCAGAAAAAGAACTGGTCTTCCTGAGTGGTCCTGGTCTGGTCTGCAATGGGAAAAATGGTGACAATTAAGATGAAGAAGCTTCCAAATAGAAGAAACTATTTGTATAATCAGTATAATCAGAGCTGTCATGTCAACTTTGAGTATATTAGCTTTACCCAATGTATTAACTGGTAATATTGCATAAATTTGCATGTAAGCAAAAGTTCTCAAGGAAAAGCATACTTCCTTTGATTTGATGTACATTTGTTGTGGCAGGATCACCTTACAAAAGGCATTCCCTGCTGTGTATGACAGAAGAAATACCTCTCTCATGTTTTCTTAGGTCCCTGTATTAATAAACTTTTACACTCCCCTTCCAAATCTTCAATGGACCTAGAGGGACTGAACTCTGCTTAGGATGGGCTGCACTCAGTTGCTCACTTGCTTGAAATAGGACTGATTGAACAAAGTGCACAGGAATAGCCTGCACATGTTGCAGCATTAACAGCACAATCCTATGCATGTTTATTCACAGCAAGCCCTGTTGTGTTCAATGGGGCTTACTTCAGGAAAGCATGCATTGGGTCGCAGCCTGAGAACCATGAAAAAGAACATGCTGTATGCTGATATTAGAGCAAATCTCCCTTATATATAAAAGCCGAATGGTGGTGGCACTTCTCTAGAACATTCCACACACTCCGGAATTGGTTGGCGCCCTGGTGTGTCACTCAGAATCTGTCCCTATCCACTGGCGGCATTGCTTGAGTCTCGCCTCCAACATTCTAAACAGTTTGCTGTTCCTCTCCCCCCCATAGCCAGTCAGAACACAGAGGTTATTTGCATATGCAGCCTCATTGGCCTTTGCCTCGGAACACAGAGGTCGTTTGCATATGCAACTTGATTGGCTTTTGCCTCTAACATTCTAAATAGTTTGCTGTTCTGAGGTAAAATGTGTCCAATCTCCAGGTGAGGGCTGGAGATCACTCAGACTTACAACCAGTGTTCCCTTCTAAGCTGAGTTTGTGTGAGCTAGCTCACAGTTTTTTAGCCTCTGGCTCACACATTTTTGTCTCAGCTCAGGAAGGAGGGCTCCAGAGAAAACCAATTTATGCAGTAGCCAAATCGCTCGCTCACAACTTTAATGCTAGTAGCTCACAAAGTAGAATTTTTGCTCACAAGACTCCACAGCTCAGAAGGAACATTGCTTACAACTGCTTTCCAGATGGCAGAGATCAGTTCCCCTGGAGAAAATGGTGGGCTCTGTATCCTTATATGCTGCTGAGATGGCCCCTGTATGACAGCCAATGTGACATAGCAGTCAGGGCTTCAGAGCACGGGAGAGGCTGCGATGTGTGGGGGATGGAAAGCTGAATAGTGAGGGGGAAATAAAGGTAGGTTGATGATTGGCTGGGAAGGAGATAGGTTTGCCAACTCCAGGTGGGAAATTCCTGGAGATGTGAGGGATGGAGCCTGGAGATGGTGAGGTTTCAGGAGGCGTGGGACCTTGGACAGGTACAAAGCCATAGACTCCACCCTCCAAACCAACCATTCCCTTCTGGGGAACCATCATTGCCAATCTCCAGGTGAGGGCTGGAGTTCACTCAAAATTACAACTGTTCTTTAAGTAGCAGAGATCAGTTCCTCTGGAGAAAATGGTGGACTCAGTGTCATTATACCCTGCTGAGGTTGCCACAGCAAATTGACACTGAGTGTCCAAGGCCAGGGCACCCACCCAGAGCCTCTTTCTAGAGGCCGTTGTATTTATTTCCACAACGAGCCTTTTTCCTAGTTAAAGATAAACCACAAATCCAGTTGGGAAAAGAGTATAGATCTATTCTACTATTTTGCTTAAAAGCTTCCAGTACAAGGACTTAACCTTCAGATTCTCCTCCACCACCCCCTAAAGGGTAGTTGGCCTAATGGATGGTCACCCTAGTGTAACAGGAGCTCCTGCACACTGAAGCCCTCCATCAAGAATAGCAACAATATGGGAAGGGTGCTCTGAGACCAGGTATGACTGAAGTTTTCCACACTTTCTTGTTCTGATAACACAAATAAAACCAGTGAATAGTGTCTGTGTTCCAAAGAAGGCTGGGGCTGACTTTATGTAAGAAAAATACAGATTTCCACTAGCTCCATTCAGTGAAACAGGCAGAGTCTCTTCAAATTAACAGGCATTAGTTCCATTTATTTTGGAACAAGACTTTATATACTATGAACAAATACACTGCATTTAACATAAGAACATAAGAGACGCCAATGTTGGATCAGGCCAAAGGCCCATCCAGTCCAACACTCTGTATCACACAGTGGCCAGAAATACCAGTGCCATCAGGAGGTCCACCAGTGGGGCCAGGACATTAGAAGCCCTCCCACTGCTGACCCACCAAGCACCAAGAAGACAGAGCATCACTTGCCCCAGAACCCCTATCTATACCTTGTGGCTAATAGCCACTGATGGACCTCTGCTCTATATGCTTATCTAATTCCCTTTTGAAGTCGTCCATGCTTGTAGCCGCCACCACTTCCTGTGGCAGTGAATTCCATGTGTTAATCACTCTTTGGGTGAAGAAGCACTTCCTTTTATCCGTTCTAACCCGTCCGCTCAGCAATTTCATGGAGTGCCCACGAGTTCTTGTATTGTGAGAAAGGGAGAAAAGTACCTCTTTCTCTACCTACTCTATTCCATGCATAATCTTATAAACCTCAATCATGTCACCCCTCAGTTGTCATTTCTCCAAGCTAAAGAGCCCTAAGCGCTTTAACCTTTCCTCATTTATACAAAGTCAAATAGAAACTTGGGTTGTACAGCAGTGGCACCTTTGGAATTTGACATAGGATGGTAGGCACTGCCACAAAATGTCAGGAAGTGAGATTATTAAAGAGTTATTATTATGATTATAACCCAATGGTAACTCTTTTAACATTTCTGGTAGGATGCCTTTTTTTAAAAAAATGTCGTTTTAAAATATTTTCTTGCATACACACAGCTTACCTTCATTCCCACAGTAAAGATTCTTGGGCTGTAGTGGCAGCTGCTACAGAAGCAACTTAAAAAAAAAAATCTGCACAGACAATCATATCCCCAAAGGTCAATCAGAAGTCCTGTTGAGCAAAAGCCCCACCTGGCCCCACCCACTTTCTAAAAACACTTGACGGGCACCATGGTGCACACAGGAACCACATTAGGGCCTCTGTTGTAAAGGACAGAAATATAAAAATACGTACTGGGAAGAGTGGAAACTTCACATTTTAGTTACACTTCAGACTGCAGATATGTAGCATTTAACAATCAGGTAGATACAGTTCTGTGGATCTTTATCTTTTTTACAGGAATAATATTTCTGCACTAAGTGTACATAGAAAAATCTGAACTGTTGACACCTGATAAATTCAGTCCTGATTATTTTCCCTCTGGTGGCTGGTTGCCTCCCAAATCAACCTGTTAGAGCAGACAGTATTTGACTACAGAGTTCACTGGCTGGATTTAGTAAAACACTCCTTTCTCAGACATGAAGGCTGTTAGTACTAGTTATTTTAAATATACATATACTTTAAAATTATGTATATGGACATACATAATGGTATAAAAATTAGAATGCTGGGCTAGGAGTTAGGAGATCTAAGTTTGAATATCCTCCATGACATGATGACCCTCACTGGGCAACCTTGGGCTAGTTATTCTCTCTCCATCCAATCCACCTCACAGGGATGTTCTGAGGATAGAATGGGATGCAGGGACCATGTATGCTGCCGTGAGTTCCTTGGAGACAGGGTGAGGGAAGAAATCTAAGAAATAAGGCAAACACCAGGAAGGTAAACAGAAACATGACTTTGATTCCCTCTGTCCCTTGCTACACTTCTATGGGACAGGCTGAGGTTCAGTAATAAATATCTTTAAGTGCAGAAGGCCCCAGGTTCAAACAATGGCATCTCCAGCTAAAGGATTTCACGGATCCGATCTTGGAAAGAACTCTCTGCTTGAGAGCCAGGAGAATTGCTGCCAGTATGAGCAGTAGACAGTACAAGTGGGGGACCTGCAAGGACTTGCAAGGGGCATCTCATTTACCCCTTTCACCACTAGATCCTCTTTCCCTTTCCTGAAAGCCCCTGTAGCCTCTCCCCTTTTCCTGCTTCTGTCTCTCCTTTCTACCCAGCAGTCAATCTATCTTTATCTGCTCCCGTCTTCAGCTTTTCTTCCTTTCCTCGTCCTGACAGCCTCTCCAAAGGAAGACTATGGCCCAGGTGTGCAGTGCCAGCTGAGCTGGAACCATTTCCTTTCTCCTGCATCCCCTCTTCAAACTATTTATCCCTTCCCTCATATCCTCAACTTTCCTTTGCCCTCACACTTCACGTTTCCCTGCTTCTTTCTCTCCTTCACACCCACCCACCAAACTACCTTTTTTCTGCCATCCATCTTATTTATTTACTTTATTTATATCTTGCCTTTCTCCACAATGGGGACCTAATGCAGTTTATATAATTCTTTTTACCTTCACAACAACCCTATGAGGATGGTTAGGCTGAGAAAGTGTAACTGGCCCAAGGTCACCCAGTGAGTTTCCAAAGCAGAATAAGGATTCCAGGTCCCAGTCTGAAACTCTGACTAATACATCACACTGGCTTACATGTGTTGGCTGTTGTTGAACAGTAGCAAGCAGGCAGACCTGGGTGAGTCATGCAATTTGGATGGCATCAAGTTACCTAGCGATTGCTGCCAGGCCTGGCCCCAATGTGTCCTCCCTCAAAGTTTGTTAAAGCTATTGTTTGGTTTTATTTGTTAAACTCCCCCCCCCAAGTATTTTTTGTTAAGATTTCAGATTTTCCACAAACCTGAGATTTTTCAGGTGTCTCTCCTCTTTTTCACTCTTTGTCAAAAGATCCATCTTGTCCATACACCACTCCAGTCTCTGGATTTAAGTATCCTCAAATGGGGCAAAACTTAACTATTAGAACATACAAGTGGGAGTCAGCAAGGACTTGTGGGAGGCAGGTCACTTCCCCCTCTCCCACTATTTCCTCTTTCCTTTTCCTGAAAGCCCCCGTAGTCCCTCCACTTTT